GTATGTATGTATGTATGTATGTATGTATGTATGTATGTATGTATGTATGCATGTATGTATGTATGTGTGTACTTATTTATGTATAAGAACTCGATGCAGATTTCATGGAAGTCGTGTTGCGCCGACTTACGTTGGACTTCGAGGTTCGGTGAGCTTGATCCGGTGATGGAGGATCGGCTCTTTCCACCGTTTTCTGGGCCACCGCCTGGAACCCGTCTTGTGTCATCTCTCGACATCTGCACCGTCAACCGTCGTGCTCCCCTTGCCACTTCCGTCAACCTTGCGTCACCAAACGATGCCGCACTTTGTATGAAAGTATAATTTGCCAAATAGGCCAGAATAGAAATGTGCAACAGAATGTTACGGCACAATGCGCATGTGTCCTGCGTTTTGAGGACAAGGAAGGATAAAAGAGGTGATGGTGTGCCTAAAAGTTGGGCCTTAAATGTGCACAAAGTTGGCTCTCTCTCACCGATTGCAAAACAAACTTTGTGGAACATAAGATTTTCACTAAAACTTTTCAGTTTGACATGAATGGACCAACATGCAGGCTTGAAGGGTGGCCACCAGACGCAGTAACAATTATTATTACCTTGATAGTATTAGTAGTAGTATCAATGGTAGTTGTGGTAGTAGTATAATGTGCCAAATAATATTGATAATCGAATAGATCGTCATGACTATAACAACAGAGCCTCCATTTCACACTGACCTTCTCGAGTAGGCAATTTTATATTCATATTAGAGTAGGGTTTCGGGACTACCAGTAAATCAGGTTGGACTTAAGCCTCCAACGGGATTGGGAATCTTGACTCTGGCCGAAATGGACTAAGCTCGTGTCCTCAGGCGGGCATATGCAAATTGGCATGATTGCTGGAGATCACCGAGTGGGGCTGTCGCAACTGGGCAGCGCGAGAGCCACGGTCATCCGATCTGTGAGGAGAAAAGAGGGCACAGATGGGCGGCTAAACTCACAACGATCGACAACTTAATACCCTTCGGAGATGTAAAAGTAAGCTGGCCTTCGAAGAGTTCCTTCGCGATTGGGTAGGACTCAACTTTGCATTTGGAATGAGGAAGGGGACTGGATTCGTGAATTGCAATCTCTGGAAACCGACTGTGAAGAGGAAAGATTGAACGATTTTGCTAAAATTGCTGCAATCCAAATAACCGAATTTTTGTATAAAAATTCACACTCTGTAGGCTCATGTTTGAAGGCGAGGCAGGAATAGCCACGAATTTGTGCAGCCGGACATTTCTTTTCAACGGAAATGTTGGTCGAAAGAGAACTGGACTAGTGAATTGTCGTCTCCATTAACCGATAGAGAATCGTCTTTAAAATAAACAATGCTAGGTTGTGCGAAGCAGTCCTCTGCCCATCGTCCTGCTGACTTTTATTATATCTCCGTGACAGATTTAATCAGATTGAGACACGATTATTTAGAAAAAAAGCCATAAAATATAAACCATCATTCTGGCTTCTAATGGTTTTGCATACAGTATTGTGCATTGGGTGTATGCATTGTCTACTCATAAAAAGTGTGACAGCCATGACCATATTAGGGGCTATTCCAGCCTCCTTTTTACGCTAAATAGTCATTCCTACTTATTATCAAACTTTACTAAATAGTTTTCCTTCATTTTTACAAACTCATTCTTCCTGTTCAGGAAATTGACTCTTGTTTTAATTTAAGTAATTGTTGACATTACTTCCATTTCGAGTGAAAGTGTTGGGTGAAGAAATTCGAGCTCTGATATTCTCTGCTCGAAAGGTCGCCACGTAACCTCCACATTGACATAACCACATGTCCACAAGGCCTTGTAACACGCTGAACTGGAAGGATTGTTCGAAAATTCTATTCTGCACATCTACGCAATGTGTGAATTTCCCATAAAACATTCCTACGATGTCCCATATCTTTAGAAGTTAACCTTCTTTTTTCACATGCCCTCGTGACAGCAGAAGCAGAAATCGAGTAAAGTCAATCTGTTGCTACGAAAAGAAACTGGGTTTCGATAAATCTATTGAGATAACATTGCTGGTGGGACTTTTATTTCGTATGAAAGTGAATGAAAAAGAGATTCGTTGGTCGATCTCACCAGATGAGGACGGATAAGTCTCGTTGTACTGCAGCCGTTTGGCTTTTATATGATATTCATGCAGACTCAGTCCATCTGCCTATCCGCT